TGCCAGGGGGGGTGCTGGAGATCCGGGATGTGACCGAGGCCGATGCCGGGACCTTCACCTGCATCGCTGAGAGCGGCAACGACACCCTGGAGGCACAGGCAGAGCTGGCAGTGCAAGGTGGGTCTGAGGTTTCATTTGCACAGAGAACATTTCTCCAGATACCCAAATACCTAAATATCCAAGTTTGTTCTGTGCCCCCTCCAATCCTGTTATAAATATTGTTACTCTGATTTATTTCTAAAATGCTTCTGATTTCCTAAATAGCCAAATGAGCAATGTGCTGCTATAATACAGCCTGAGGGTGCTTAAAAGCTGCTCTATCAAATGTGGTTGATGTCATGGAGCTGAAGGAGGGCCAAGGCCACAGAGTGGCTGATCCCATCTGAAAGTCAACCTGTGGTTCTGCAACCTGGCTGTCATTGGAAAGGACATCTCTAATGCATTTTTCATAATCCTTAAATACATTGTTGTTTTCATTGAGCTAGAGAGAAGGTAAAAGCAGAGTTATTTGGTAATATGCTGGTTTATTGTGTGTGTAACTGTTTTGCTTACTCTTGCAAGCTATTTTTACTAGAAAAAGTACTGAAATATTGATAATGTAGTTTTTAAAAGCATCTTACTATACATAAAAAGGTAAATAAAGCAGATTGGGTAAGCAAAGAAAATAGACTTGGTAAGGAGTGGGAAAGAATTCAGGTAAAAGCTTGCCTTCCTTGCCTTTCTTACACTCCATGAGGAAATCTCTTTTTTATTGATTGGACCCTAGTAGGGGTTTCCAGTTCTTTCTCTGGAGTTTCATGGCTTGTGCAGGGTCCTTATAAGAGCTTACCTGACTTGGTTCAGCGTGGACTGTGGTGCTACAAAGTTGATCTAAAAACTAATTCTGGGGGGAGAAATTTATTCACTGAACATCCATAAATGAAGGGTTTTCTGACCCAAAGGAAGCACTCAGACTCTATCTGGTCACAGATAAAAAAACCTCACATTTTTCTTGCCTTGTATCTTTGGCCAAAAGAATAAAACTTTGGTGCTCTGGCTTGGGAAATACCTCCAAGCTTGAGGCTTCAGAACACTTTACTATGGCTTCAAACAGCTCATGTGTGCTGTGTTTAATTCAGCTCCAGCCTCTCTGTTTTACAGAATTGGCTTTGTGTTTTATGGGCAGTGACAGCAATTAATAACATTAATGATATGATGCAATTAAGCAGTTGTGGATAAAGCTGAGAGGAGCCTTAGTGCAGCACATCCAGCTGGGTCACCTGGGATCAAAGTGAACTGGGACAGCTCTTTTGCTCCTTATCTGAACCATTATCAAGGATTTCTTCATTTGGTTGTGAAGATTTAGGGTGTTCTGCCAGGCCTTCCATGCTGATGTTTTGTTACACACCTGGCACTGGAAAGAAAATCCTTTATGCTTGAGTATTAAATTATATTAAAGATTCTACAGAGTGCATTTCAGATATGACATTTCTGATTTTACTTCTTAGTTCTAATCTTAATTTTACTTCCCTTGAGAGGTCACTGTAGGGAGTAATTGTGTTTCTGCATTACTGTACTTTGGTGCAGGGTTGAATAGCTTGAATAACTGTTACCTGATCCCTGGATCATTTCCTTCTAGACCAAAGAAATTGTCATCTCTCCCCACCTAATAACAGCATGATTTTGCTTAATTTAAGTTCTTTCTGCCATTCTTGGAAATGAGTCTGGCAGCATTTCAGACAAAGCATTCATTTTTGGGTACTGTATTTTTCTACAGCTCTCCTTGAAGCCCTTGTTTTCTGTAAGAGGTTTCACTCTGTGCTGGGGTTGTGCTCAGGCAGCCAATCATTTTCCCTCTAATAACATTTCCTCATGGCAGTTTAGACATGGAATTGTGTGCCCAGGGGTGGTGCCATTGCTTGGCACTATTAGGGCAGTGGAACTGCAGAGGTGTTCCTGGGGCTGCTCTTGACTGAGCTTTCCTGGCAGTGCCAGGTAGGGGCTGACTGAAATTTGCAGGCAGAAACTGTAGGGAGATAGAATAGAAGAAAATAAAGATAGTGTAGAAAGTAATCTCACCCCTAAGGAGCTGCAGCTGGGCCCATTATCAAAGATGAGGGGCAGGCCTGCCTTTAACAGGCCACAGGTGTAAGCAGTGAGAAGAAGATGCTATAAAGGAGTGGGGTAGGTGGGTGAGAAGGGAACTGCAGTCAGTGGCTGCTTTCTGAAGAAGAGTCAGAGCTCTGAGGAGCTGCCCATGAGAAACACCAAGGTAGGAAACTTTTGTGATAGGACACAACAGTATGGAACCCCTGCAATGAGATAACAACAAGAAGCAACCTGCTTTATCCACTTGGAAGTTTGGCTTTGCATGGACTCAGGAGTGCTCTTAAAGGTCCCTTTGCTCCCTGAGCAGCTTTTCTGGGTCCTGTGACAAGGTTACAAAACCCTACAAGCAAATAGATGTCTCTGGTATGGTGCTGGCCACTGAAATTCTCCTGCCATGGCAGTGGGGATGAAATTCCTGACCATCCCTGGGGGGAGGGTGCCCTCAGGTGTGTCACACTGGGGCTGTGCTCCACTGGCAGGAAAATAAATGAGTTTTACCCTGGGTTTGTGTAGGGTACAAGGCAGTGCTTGGGGAAAGCTTTTCCAGTTTATATGGGACTGTACAGCCACCAGTCCTGGGAGTTCCTGGGGTGTTTTCTGTTATTTCTGGCACCATTTTCAATTGGGAGAAGTGGTGCCTTCAGTGCAGTTACTCAGATCCTGCTGGTGACACTTAAGGATGTCACCAGTTCCACATGCCTGAGAATAGTTGAACCCCTGTGTTATAAATATGAGGTGCTAGAGGAGCCTTCTATTGCCCTCATGCTGGGTTTAAAAATGATTGGGATTTGTTCCCCTACATACATCTCAGAAGGACTGAATCAGGAAAATGGCCTTTAACATGATTAGGAAGGTACTGAAGAGTCCAGAAGAATTCTACACAAATTTGTCCTCAATCTCTTTATGTGCATTGTGTATCTGGGAGGCAGAGTCGAGACATTTCCTTACCTTTGGGGAGGAATTTTGGCTGCCCTGTTCCTGGAGGTGTTCAAGGCCAGGCTGGACAGGACTTGGCACAACCTGAGCTGGTGAAAGGTGGCCCTGCCACGGCAGGGGGTGGATGTGGTGACCTGGCAGGTGCCTCCCAACCCAAAGCATTCAGTGACTCTGTGTACCTGCAAACTGGAGATGTCATGGGCCCACTGCTCACACACTGAGCCCTTGCCTGGTGCATGTGAGAAGTGATTTCATGTGGGAGAGAACAGGGAATGACCCAGGGAAAGCTGTGGCTGAGACAATCCCACAATCCCATTCCCTAAAGCTGGACATTGCTGAATCCTGCCCACACTGGGGTAGGACCAAACCCTGAATGGACAAAACGTGGGCACCTCTGTACCCAAAGTGTCACAGAATGGGCAAAAGGGACCTCCTCAATTCTTCTGGGGTGCACAAGCAGGGGACACTGTGGGAAATGGGTTTGTAGAGAATTCTCAGAGCCTGACAGAAGTCTCACATATCTGAGTGCAAACCTTGAGATAAGAAATGCTGACTGAGAAATGCCATGGAATAGGACAGACATTGCTGAGAGAGAAATGGAACTAGGAACAAGTTTCAAGGGATGGCCTTGCAGGTAAGACCAAATAGTTTGGAGAAATAGAACCATGAAAGATGAATTTTAGATTAACGGCTTTAAAGCATTTACAGCATGGTGTGACAAAAGCTGACAGGCCAAGAAATGCTCATAATGTAATTAAGAAATATTTGGCTTCTGATTGTGATGGTGTGAATTGTAACATCTGTATTGTCTCACCCTTCTCATGGGACTGAAAATGGAATAAAAGTTTTTCAAACACCTCTCAGCTGCCCCATCTCTGGGTCAGAAAAGGGCTTAATCCCACAGGTCACCACAGTCCAGGCCAAACAGGGGCAGGACACTTCCCATGGTGGAGGCAAGAATTTGGAACCTAAAAAGTCACCTCCCTCTTGGCTGTAGTGGCAGGGCTCTCCCCTCACTGTGGGTGCTGCTACCAGCTTATTTACAACACCTGTAATGAATTGAGAGCACTGGAAAAATTTGTTTTGCTCTCCCCAGGCATGAAAGAATCCGTAGCATTTCCCTCAGATAAGGCTGGGAAGTGATGACAGCAGAGCTGGGCAAACAGGGAGTTATTCCTGTATTTCATGTGCTCAGCCTGGAGAGCCAGAGTGGCAGTTAAATACTGGGGAGGTCACAGGTTCAGCCTTCATCTGGGCAATATTTCAAATTTATGGCAGTGCCCAGCACCCTGGGGGTTTGTGCAGGGGCTGGGGCTGAGCGAGGTCACTCAGGGCCTTCCTGTGGCTGCCTTGGTGCTGGGTGGGACCTGCAGCTTGGGGGGGCTTTCTCTCCCTGCTGAAATATTTACTGCAGTTAATGATCAACCAGAAAAATCACAAACCAAGAAAAATTTCCATTTTCATTCTCTTATAAAATTGACATGGCAGGTTTGAAGCCTCTAAAATAAAGAAGTCCCTGTGTTTGTGGGAGAAGAGTGAGAGTTGCTCTTTGCTGTTGCTTGTTGTTGCCTTTCAGTGAGTTTTATGAATAGCAGAAACTCAACTTCTGAGTTGCCTAGGACAGCATTCAGTGTCTGATAGTGCATCTTAACTATTATACATGAAATGTCTCACTGTGTGAATGTAACTAAGTTTAAAAATAAAACAAGAGAAGCTTCTTTTGGGGTATTTGTAAAGATAAATCAGAGATTGCATGTGGCAACTGGCTGATCACGGCCTCGTTCGTGCTGCCAGAGCAAATTGGGTGGAAAAAACCAAATGCAGAAATGTTTTGATGGAATTGTCCACTTTGTGCTTTAGAAGGAAGTGCTGGAAATATTTTCAGTAGAGCTGACAAGGTTTAGAGCAATGGCAAAGCCTCATTCCAGCAGAAAATAGGATATTTTTGAGTGTGGGTCCTGCAGTGTCAGGGAACAGCGATTTCTGTGTGCTGGGGGGTTGGCAGGGTTGCCTCACCTTGATTTCCCTGCTGCCTTTGCTCTTGCTGGGGTCTCTAGTACTTGGATTACTCATGGCATGTAATTATTTTAAAT